GGGGGGGGGGGGGGTGCATGCAAAGCAGTGTGAGCGGCGCACACCGTGCCAAAACTCCATCCATTCAGTGGGGCCCACTCTTCACGCGACGTCGTTTGCTTTCTCCCACTGCCCTCCTCCCCTCCCCCAGCAAGAATTCCATTTCCTTCCTCCGTAGTTGTCAGTTGATGCTATGCTTCTTCTTTCCCCCTGGCAACTGAATCCCTAAAGCCCAATCTCTCATCACGCCGCCGAGTTCTCTCCGTCGCTTGCGGTGTCGTTTTCAATGGAGTTGATGTCCCTCAGCAACCTTAACCCTAGTTCTCTGAACAGAGCTCTTCCTACTCCGCCTGTCACGCTCTATGCTTCATCGTCTCTGCCCCTCCATCTGCCTCTTAATCGATGTCGTTTCAGAGTCCCGAAGTTGGCTCGAGCCCTCGTCCCTTCGGCAGTTCCTGGATTCAGCTTTTGCTATCCATATTCTGAAGAGGCCTCGCTGAATCGATCCTTCGTTGCTTTCGCTGCCTCTCACGAGGACTCGGTGAGTCGTGGTTTGCGCCAAAACCTTTCATTCTCCCATTTTTTTCCCAGTTATGTTGTAGTTTTCTGCTAGTCATATGCCTGATATTGTAAATCCTTTGTCGCACTACCTTTTGTACTGCCAATATGGTTCACATTTGCATTAAAAAAGGTTTAAAGAAGTTTGGAATGTGTTTCTGAAGAGCGAGTTCTGATAATTTTTCTCGTTCTCATGTTTTTCTCGAATTGACGAAAAAGTTTCTGATGATTAGGCTGTAGTGTTGTCAGCCAGCGAAAGATGCATTTTTTGTGTTCAAGTCGTCATTTGAGATGTATGGATTGGTTTTGACTGGAATTTGTTGTAGATTTTTCATTTTGAGTAAACCCATTGCTGATCACGAAGAAAAACTACAGTCTCTGACGGTTCTTACCCTTAAACGCTGTTGAACTAACAGAAGCATTCGGAGATTGAAGTGGAGAAGGAGAAGAGTGACATTGATGCAGAAGATGAGGTATCCCAGGAAGCGTGGAAACAAGCTTTTGCTTCTTTCAAAGAGCAGGTATTGAAAATGCAAAGCGTGTCGCTGGAAGCCTACAAGGTTAACTCTCAGAAAGCCATGGTTGTCTTGAAGGAAACCTCCGAGCAGCTCAGAATTCAAGCAGAAAAGGCGAAACAAGATTTGGGTGCACTAGCAAAAGAGATTGGTGAAGATGGCAAAGAATACATTTTGAAAGCAGCAGAAGATTCACCTGCAGAAGTGAAAGAGGTCATTGAAGCTTTTGCCTCTGTTGACGATCTCAAAGATGTTTCTCGAGTAGATGACTTTCACATTGGAGTACCTTATGGTAAGCATGTGATATAACGCAATCGCATCTTGTTACTTCCATTGCATGTTAATTTAGGAAGGATTGATGAATTTCTTCTAATTTTGCAGGTCTGCTTCTGTTTGTGGGGGGCTTTCTTTCCTTTATGGTAACTGGCAGCATTGCCGCAATTAGGTTTGGAGTCATTCTCGGTGGAGCTATTTTTGCATTAAGCCTAGCAAGTCTAAAGTCTCAGAAGAAAGGAGAATCATCTACGAAGTTCTTAAAAGGACAGGCAGGTGAGTAAGTCATGGGTTTACTGACTCTTCATGTAGCAAAAAAAAAAGCCACAGGTTCAAGAGCTCCTGTTTTACTTCAACTACTCAAATTGCAATCAAATAACATCATTTTTCGTGTGGCCTTAGGGATCGCATCGAATGGATTGACTCACTTGCATGTTATATGGCCACTGAGTTCCCCCAATGTGATTTATTTAAGAGTTTTCAGCATATTGGCACTTTTATGGGTTGGATATGTTGGTTTTGGTTGTCTTAAGGTATCCCCCACCTCACACTCTATAGTTATCTTGTCCTGTGAACAACAGGTATAACGACAATCATATTTTTGAGAGAGTTGCAGTTGCTGTTATCTCGGGTAAGCGCTCATGATCCCATTCTATTTTTCAAGGGTGCATCTACATTATTTACGAGGTTCCTTTGTTTTCTCTCTCATTTTGCAGAGATGTGGGTTCCTGGGCCCTGTGACTACCCTTATTAGGTAACATTCACTTGCATCATCATTATACTAAAACATATTTCTCGTGGACAACTCCTTGATTCCTGTGTTTGTGGAGAGAGCCCGAGATTTAGATGGGTCCATGTGGAAAGGACAAGCTGCATGCATCTCTTTGGCTAGGCCCTTGAATAGGACAGTAAGCACGATGTGAAATCAACTGAGGTGTGTTTGTGCAGCGGTGGTGTATTAGCGTTTCTCGTATACAAGATTGCAAACAACAAGGGTAAAGGAACAAACTTAGAAGGCAGAGCAGAAAACTGATGACATCCTTCCAGAGGTGGGTAATGGAATTGTCGGAGACGGCGACAGTTACAAAGTGAAGAAAAAGTTCAAGAAGCGTGTTAAGTGACTCACTCAGGTAATAATAATGAAGTGACTTCACAAGATCGCATCTTTTGATGTGCGTTGGGAGCATTGCTTTGATTGTTGTTATCTCCTCCCCTCGTTGTCCTGTCGTACGCTACCAAATTTCACTGTGTTCCGTGCAGCGATCTCTAAATGTTCCCTTGAATATCTTTTTTTTTTTTAAGATTTCCTTCTAGGTTAAGGTTAGGATTAGAGGATTCATATGCATAGGATCAAGTTTCATGTTTTTTGTCTTAATGAATTCCGGTGCTGAACTTAAACCATTTTGGTTCCTTAACGTTCAAGACATTTGCGTTTTCACCAACAAATGGGCGAAGTAGAGGACAAAGTGGTAAGGTTAAGACAAGTGTTCAAAGTGTAAGCCCAAGAGCATACAGAAATACAGAAACTAGAACACTTACTTCGACCCAGCTGCCAAAATGGCTTTTACATAAAAAAAAAATACTTAGACCGGGGTGCCGCAATTTACACAAAAAACCCTCGGGCCGTCGGGCGCGGATTTTTTTTTTTTTTACAAGCATTTCATTTCCACCACCTGGAATTCAACGTCTGTCTCCTCTTCCGTGGAGAAGTTCATTCCTCTCGACATCACCACCTGCCGTCTTTAACGAGACACCTTCCTCCTCAAACTCATCCTCTGTCTCTGCCATGTACGCGTACCTGAAGTGCAGGGGTGAAACATCAGTTGACTGAAATACCTCCATCCCATGGCAGATTTTCCATATGACACTGACATTGTCCGCAGTTACAAGGCTACAGTTTCAGAAGTCTATATCATTAGGCTCCTAGGCGCACCTACCTAGCGTAGTCTTGTACCTTTTTTCATTCCTTTGGATTCAGGTTTTTTTTTTTAGGAATGCGATATGTATATTCAGTAGATTATCCAAAATGCAAACGCTAAACATTATTTGGGCCTGTGGAGATTATAGAACTAAACTACCGCAGTTGCTGGATCATCTCCTAGTTTATCCTAAATATTGTTATTAGTTTGACAGTTAAAAAAGGTAAACCAGCTACAAATAGCGACTTGTATTGTACAAAATCAATAAAGGGTAAGAGAAATCGATAATAGTACCTGGTAGGGTTAGCAGATGGAGCCCAGAGGACACATATGACTACCAGCAGAGCGTAAGCAAGTACATTCCAGAACGCTGGAATTATCCATGCTATTCTCCAGAGCTCGCTTAGAGGATCAGTGGCGTTGAAGTATAGCTGGTTAAGATAAAAGAGAAGAATACAGTTCAGTTACACGCCTTTATAATTCCCAGAGTCCCAATTTTACAAGCAAGTTGTCACCTCAAAACCAATCCAAGCAATGGAGAGCAGCACGGAAACTGCAAGCGCATTTGTGAAGTTCCTATAGAGATCTAGCTTAGCCATGTTCCTCTTAATCTGCAATTAAAAAAAATGGACAACCGAGCAACTATGAGAAAGTAACTGTTAGGATCATATATTGATCATGTATGGGTTCCCCCTTCCCACAAACTCGTTTTTAGTGGTCCATCCATTCTATGTGTACGTTATAATGGAAGATTTTGGCCATGTTATGTATTATTAGGCTCTTATCTGTCGCAAAAAAAAAAAAAAAAGAACCTACACAACATCACATGGCTCTGATGCAAAAAACCACGAAATATGTATACAAGGGATTGTGATTTAAGTACTACTCAAAATATATTAAAGAAACTTTACTGATGATTGATAGTCAAGTTAGAAAGGAGTGCATGGAGTTGTCACCTGAAGTTTCTCGAGAGTTTTTGACAAGGATGAGAAAATCCACAGAATAAAGCAAGCGTCCAACAATGCCACAGGAAGCACCAAAAATATCATTGTTTTTCCAGAGAAGTCGTTGATGTTTCCAAGATGTTCGACAAGCTCCAGAGCCTCTGTTGCAATAAAATAAACAAAACCAAGAAGAAACACCCTGGAGGTTATGCCACCAAGAGTAGGCTTCACTACCCCATAGCCCATAGAGACAACCAGAAGAAGAAGCCGGGACAGTGTCTTCTTCACAGAGGAAAACGTCACTGCCCACAGAGTCACATCCATTGGCCTGGTCCCCGTGGAGTTGAAATTAGAGTATTCAAAGTATCGGACTGCCATCTCGCACATGCCAAGGGCAATAACAAGGGTGACATGGTAGTGCAACTGAATTATATCCTTCCAAAACTGAACAAACCGTAAAAACCAGACCACGCCAAGCAAAAGGTAAGCGAAGGACATGAAGCCAAAAAATTTCATCAAGGGAGCCATCTTTCCAGGTAAATATCCATCTGGGTTCTTCCAAATTGTTCTTCCTCTGATTATAGTGCCTTCCAGTTCAGGGTCACAGGTAACAAAGTAGAGGTAGTACATCCCAGTCTTATTAATAACCACAGCCTCAGGAGACATTTTAATTTCATCCTTATTTCCTCGAAAGAAGGTCTTGATCCGTTTCGGCCACTCAGGTTCGTCGGGATCTCTCTTGATAATAACCTCACCCAAAGTGCAGGATCTAGCATCAGCAAGCTCCGGCGTGCAACATATTGCATCAGTTTTGAGAAAGGAGCCTCCGATTCTGTCCCGGTCCTTCACCTCAAGTACAATTGCTTCTACCAAACCAGCAGTAGCCTGCATTCTGTTCTGCTTGCTAGCAGATTCCTTTGTCCTCACAAAAGTGACGTCATCAAACCTAAAAAGAAAGAACAACATCAGACAATATGGTGCTCTGACAGAACCGTCTCCTTCAAGTGCATAACTCCTCTCAGAATGACACATAGGCGAGCAAAGAAATTCAGGGCTCACACTATGCAATTCTGACCATGTCAATTACAAGATTCCTCAGAGATGCTAGAATTATGGAAGTCCTAAATTGATCGAGAATAAGGATGACACAGCAACATAGGGAAGGATGCGACGCCAGCATCTCTGCAGTATCCAGCATTATAATTTTGAAAAAAAAAACTACAAATTCATCTTCCAAGCCCGACAACTTGGCATGAAGCTAGTTACCAAATAGAATTTCCAGTAATGCTACTCCAAATGCGCAAATCACAGTACAAAAATCGGATCAGTTTCGACACTGTACGTCCTATGATCCAACCGTACAACATGCCTAAATTCTCCCAGTAGCCGAAAACAAAAGATAAAGAAGTACAACATGAGAGTTTGGACATGCTAAAGTCACAGGGCATACATCCTACGAAGTTCCTCTCTGCACAAAAAACGACTGAACGGAGACTAGACAATCGGAAAGGGGAAAAGAACATCGGAAGGAGAGGAAGTGACCTGATGAAGGATTTTCCCTTGAGAGGTTTATCAGAAGATGCATTGAAAACGAGAAACTTAGAAGCGTAGAGACCTTCGCTACCGCCATGGAAGAAACGAGCGTTGGAGCGTTTGGTGAAGCCTTCGTTATTGTATTCGTGAATTGAACCATCTGTGACGGTAATCAAGCTTCCTACGAACAACAAGGCGATCGCCCAAAACCCTAACGAACGATCGTCTTCCATGTCTGTTAGCTCTTATTCCTGTCTCAACGAGAGAGAGAGAGAGAGAGAGAGAGAGAGAGAGAAGAGAGAGAGAGGGGGGCAAGGACAGCGACCAAAAACAAGAAACAGGGCCGTGTTATTAGAACGTTGTGAGTTCATCCGACCCGTTCTGGATAGACTTAGGCCCAATTTGGTACTTAACATACGCGTCGTTTCGCATTAACGAGCTGCAACGATCTGTAGTTTTCGTACACAGAGCAAAGAACACTATCATTTTTTTATAAAAAAAAATCAGTCACTGAATTAAAAAAAAAAATCATTAATTTACCCAGTGGGACGAGTGCGTATTAAACCCATTTTAGTGTTCAAAAACAGTAACTAGGTTGATGCATTTGATTAAAAAATGGGTGTAAAAACAAAATTAAAATTGCCATTAGATGTTATTTGTTTTTTGTTACTTGATCCCCAAAATTTCTCTTTTGATTTGAAAAGCTTATCACATGATGACGGGTTCCTCTGCTTCTTCCGTCACAAACCAGAGTGGAAGTGCATGATCTTATATAGATATATAATATGAGATCGGTATACTGCCGAGATGGGCATCGGAATGGAGAATTAAACAGAGAGAATAAGAATGTAGTGGTAACTATAATATTTAAATGTAATTTAATATAAATAAATAAATTCGATGTGGATAGAACCAACTGGTTAACAACAATTAGGTCCCGAAAAGGGTAATGACAAACAAAACAATGGATGATGAAGGCTAGTGAACCTCCCACCAACTCACCTAACCCTAACTTTGCAAAACTTTGTATTGTAATGAATCGGTTCATTTAATAATATATTTATACACAAATAGTTTCCAAGATTGATTTTTATTATTATTATTATTATTTTTGGTAAGTCGGGTTTCCTAGACCCAAGAATCCAGACTAATCCCGACCCACGCATGCGAGTCTGCAACACACACGTGGGTGTAAATCGGCCGAAACCGGCAGATGAAAAGGGAATCTCTATATTCTGAGTATTGAACTCACGCCCTCGTTTGGGGAAGTGAGCTCTCAACCAACAGAGCTAGGGATTCCCTTTATTATTATAATAATAATAAAGATACAACGCAAAGGAAAGGAAAGGGCCATGGTTGTTGACACTCTGAAATGCAATTCCAAAATAAAATAAATAAATGAAGAGAGTGGAGGAGGAATCCACTACCGTTTCAGGGTGTGTCTAAAAAAGGCAGGTCTCTCCACTCAATTCATGTTTTGTCTGACGATGAAACCATTGTCCACTCCACCACCTTATATATATATATATATATATATATAGTATACGTGCATGCGTTTACATTTAAAAGAAAAAGAAAAGAAATCATATGCATGGTGAGAATGGGAGGGATAGAGTACATAGACACGGTGGTGGTGCCGATGAGCGTGTTCTTGGCGGTGGGATATCATGTCTTCCTTTGGCACTCCTTCAGAAAAAACCCTTCTCGCACTTCCCTCGGCATCCATTCTCTCCAACGCTCCTCTTGGCTCCGCGACATCAAACAGGGAGACGGCAAGACGGGGATGCTGGCGGTTCAGAGCCTGAGGAACACGAAAATGGTGGCAATCCTCACAGCCACCATAGCGATACTCGTCTACCTCTCTCTGGCGGCAGCAACCAACAACTCGTTCATGGGGAGCCACCTCTTCGGCAGCCAGGTCTTGTCTGGGTCCCACAAAGATACGATATTCGTGGTAAAGTACGGAGCGGCGGCGGTGGTAATGGGGGCGAGCTTCTTCTGCAGCTCGATGGGTGTTGGCTATTTGGTCGATGCCATTTTCCTCATAAATGCCATGGACATGGACATGGACATGGACATGGACATGGACATGGAGAATGCGAGGATGGTGATGGAGAGAGGGTTTCTCATGTCCACTCTGGGAAGCAGAGTTATGTGCATTGGCATTCCTCTTCTGCTTTGGCTGTTTGGTCCTCTCCCTGTCGCCGCCTCCTCCTTAACCCTCGTCTTCCTTCTCTATCACTTTGATTTCCCTCCCCTCTCCTAGTTCCAATGATGTTTATATATATTTGGTACTTGATAATGTTCAATATGAGTCCTCCTTCTTCTTCTTTTATATATATTTGGTGACTTTATCAGAAAGTTTAAAATTTTATATACATGGACCGATCATAATATATTAGAAGTGGGGCACTTCGGTTCGGAAATTTAGTACCGACCCGATGTGTCCCAAAACCGAACCGAACCGAATAACGTTTAGTTCTAATTTGGTACACTTTTTATGGAACCGAATGAACCGTTCCCGAATCGAATCGTATGGATACCGAACCGAACTGTGTGAATACCGAACCAAAATTCAAATATTCCACTGTGTAAATATTATAGTTTGATACTTATTTGGTATTCATATAATGGTCCTAGGGGTGGGCAATTCGGTTCGAAAATCTGGTCCTGAACCGTACCGAACCGATTAATTTAGTTTCGGTTCGATTCAGTATTATATAAAAATACCTAACAGTACGAAATTTGAAATACTGAACGGTTCATGAACAGTTCGGTTCAGTTCGGAAAATACCGAACGGTATTTCAGTATTTTTTATTTTTTAATTAAAAAATATTGAATATTAATAGTTAATTATGATATTTACTAATATTAAGAGTTTGTTTTGCGTAATGCATTGACATTAATGTTGAATTTTTTCCAAGTTTTCAAGTTCAAAACTTTTATTTTGTTGAATAAAATTATTATGTTGAATCTCTTTACTTTTATATTATATGAATTATAAATATGTCATGAACCGTCCCAAACCGTTTTTATTTCGGTTCTTATTTGGTACTTATTTATTAGTATCATACCGTCCCAAACCGTCATAATACCGAACCGAATCGAACCGAATAATATACGGTACTAATTTGGTACAAATTTTATAATACCGAATAAATCGTTCCCGAACCAAACCGTTAAAATTGCGAAGCGAATCCTGAAATGCCCACCCCTAAATGGTACCGTCCCGAACTGAACCGATACTAAAACCGAACCGAATTAAACCGTTTAATATTCGGTTCTAATTTGATACACTTTTTATAAAACCGAAAAATATTATTTCTGAACCAAACCGCTTGAATACCAAACCGAAACCCGAAACGTTTGCCAAGTAAATAGATTATAAGATGGATAAAAGGGAGGCCAAACCCAATATGATGAAATAAAATGTGAGGAAAATAAAGCCCAAAAGTGAGCCCAAAGAAAATCGCCACGTCATCACATCACAACCGTCGATTCGCTCTCCCCCGAGACCGATGAATTTTGACCACGCAACTCTTCAACTCTAAACACACCTCTCCAAGGGATTCTCTCTCCTCTGCAGACTCCGCCGTTCTTCTGACTCTTCTCCGTCCATTGTTGAATTCGTCTCGGATCTGTCTGGAAATCGGCTCAAAACAATGGAGAGCGAATTGATTGATTTATTCGAGGCGGCGAAGAAGGCAGCCGATTGGGCGGCGGTCGATGGTGTCTCCTCTACTGGCCCCGAGGTTTCTCGTTGTTTGGATGCCCTGAAACAACTCAAGAAATTCCCCGTCACGTACGACATGCTCGTCGCCACTCAGGTGACTTTTCGTCATCGTCTGCTATTAGATTTGGGTCAAACGACATTGTTGCATGTTGTTTGATTGGATGAATTGGGGTTTCATTGCTTAATCCCCTCGCATTCACTACTTCTCCGAGTCGCTCCATTCCGATTAGGTCTAGGGATGTTGCTTTCGTCTGAAATTCGTTCCTGAAAAAAGCCAACGGAGGAAATTTGTTTAGGGCTTTGTAAGTGGCTACTTGAAATCGTCGGAACAAGATCGCAATAAGGGTATGCTATTGCTATGGAAAGAGGATTCCCATGAGATCCTCTTCCGCTCCAGAGGTTTCTTTTCAAGCTTGTCATGGTTGTGCGATTGAAAGATTCCGTCCCTTTGGTTTTTCACAGGATTTCCTTCCATTGGTTCAATTGTATCTCTATCTTGTTACATGCTCATTATTTTAATTTTGCCTGAGACAAAGTATTCTTCCATCCATGCTTCTAGGTAGGGAAGAAGCTCAGATCTCTTGCAAAACATCCCGCTGAGAGAATCAAACTTTTTGCTAACGAGTTGCTTGAGATATGGAAGAAAATCGTCATTGAAGAGACGGCAAAGGCTAAGAAAAATGGGAGCAGGGAAGGTAAGTCTTCTCTGAAACGTGAGGGCGCAAAGGTTGAGATCGTCAAGGAGGAGAAGGTAGATAGGATGAAGAAGGTTGAGAAGTTGTCTAATTCCCAGACTGTAAAAGTTGAGAAACTAGAGAGGGGTGATTCGTCCAAGAGAATGAAGCTAGAGAGAAAGGAATCGGATGATAAAGCCGTCACTGTGAAGAAGCCGTTGAGTACAAGAAGCCCGGCAGCCCAAAGTGCTCTGCCAAAACTGACGTCAATGGTAAAAAGCAATGATCCTGCGAGGGACAAAATTCGGGAAATCCTAGTAGAGGCATTGTCCAAGGTGGCAGGTGAAGCTGATGAGGACATGAGAGGAAGAGTAAACGGATGCGATCCAATCCGGGTTGCTGTGTCTGTGGAGACTGTGATGTTTGAGAAGATGGGAGGATCGACAGGTGATCAGAAACTAAAGTACAGGTCTATAATATTCAACATGAGGGACCGTAACAACCCAGACTTGAGGAGGAAGGTACTAATGGGGGAGGTGACACCAGAAAGGCTAATCATGATGACGGCTGAAGAAATGGCGAGCAACCAGAGGAAACAAGAGATCAGCCAGATCAAAGAGAAAGCGCTGTTTGATTGCGAGAGAGGGGGTGCACCAGAGGCCACGACCGATCAGTTTAAGTGCGGGAGATGCGGACAGCGCAAATGCACGTACTATCAGATGCAGACGAGGAGTGCGGATGAGCCGATGACGACTTACGTAACATGTGTTAACTGCAACAACCACTGGAAGTTCTGCTGATGCCAGATGGTCTTTGCCAGGACAGTTAACCAGAAACTGTTACTAAAGTTTCGGTGTAGGATCATTTGGTAATTTAGAGAGTAGCTTTTCAGTTTGGTCCATGTGTTTTGCCCTTCCAAGTGGTTCTTTGTGTGTTATGTCTTCCTTCTTTATAATAATTTCTTTAATTATATGAAAACAAATGGATCTTGCAGCATACATTGTACAACATAATCTACCGTTGAAAATACTGTATGTAGGTTACATATACAAATGTTAATTTTCCTTGGTGATATTGAAGATTTGTATTTTACTGCCACAATCAATCTGTTTTGAACGAGCAAGATAGTCTGTTGGGTTTGTGAAATTTTCCTGCAGAGATATTTGATATAATTGACCGCTAAATTTCATTACATGAAGGCAAAGAAACACAATTGGATAGACGGTAGACTCGATCCTACTCTACTCAAGAGAAAACTTGTGTAGTTAGTTGTACAAATATGCCTATAAGCTTTCTGTGTCAAGTCAACTCCGTCCCAACTAATATATCGGCCTGGATTCGGACAGACGGGTACGCCTCTTGTCTGCTTCCCTTCGCTCCTCCGACACCACAGCATGATCTCAAGGCCACTATGACCGCATGTGAGGATTCTTGTGCTATTGCTGCTTGGAGGGTATTGTTGAGTTCCTTAGCCGGAAATGGTGACAGATGGGGAAACATCTGATGGGGAAGTTTCCTGGGATGACCACTCTGCAGCGGCGGTTTCGACTATGTGTGGAAGGTTCTGACCTCTTCTGCACGCGCCGCTTGGTAGACCTGATCCAAGCCCTGCCCAAAGGATCAAAAGGGCTCGATGAGGGGATTTCAGATATCTATCATCGACTGGATATCATACATATTCGGGTATTTTGTAGGACAATGACAAGGAAAAGAGGAGTCGACCAAGTTTATATTAGAATATTAGAATGAATGAAGGCCCAATCTCCAATAGGTCCTCGTCATTCTTACAATCCAACCATACTGGCAACTTGTGCAGCATCATTATCCAATTTTCTACGGCTTCTCCATCTCTAGATTTTTTTTTACCCGCTTCGTTTACCGTTTCCAGGATTTACATCTGGAAAACATAAAAAGTAATATTAGAAATGAATCGAGGATTTTCAATCATGTGCTTCGTTCCATTTTTCTACTGTCACCCATCAATTTGTAAAACAAACCACAGACAACCTCTCTCTCTCTCTGTGCACCTATACACAGACAGACACATATAGACATTCTTTGCCTAAATTATTAGTATTACAGTCCAATGAATTTGGCTTCTATGTTGAACCTTAAAGTTCCACAGACCCTCCCACCTTCTTTGCCCTTATTCTCTCAGAAAGCTGTCATGGTGACATATACATAGAAACCTCTAGATTCCAATGCAAATGCAACGCAACCATATTTAACATCCCATCAACACATAGTGGAAATAGAAGAAAAAAATGACCACCAAGATACCCATTCGTTCTGTCTCAATAAAAGCCCAAAGGACCAACCCAGTTCGTATCTCCATCTAGAGAGATGGCTTTGAATCCGCGACCTCAGACCCCACTGACTCAATACTCAATATAAATATCTTAGTCCTTTGAAAACTCTGAATATTCTTCAACGAGCATCTCACACCTATCAACCACACCAATTTCTCTGTTTTTCATGTATATGTCCAAGTGAGTCAACCAGCTTCTATCTGTCTAATACCCTTTACCAGTAATATGATAAGTTTCTGTTATTTGGGCCAAGTCAAGCTATTTGTCTACCGTTGAGTTTGCTTTCCTCTAGTGCTTACTACATGATTATAATTAGAAAAGCCAACTGGGAAGTATAAGGCTGGACAAAGAAAGAGGGAAAGTTAGAGGAGTGGGATGAATAGGAGGGAGTGTGAAGAGACCGTGAGCGTGATGGGACGTTTAGAATTAGTTAATTAGTGGGGATAATATTTGGTTTATGATTTTTTTATCCAGGTGGAGTTTGACTTGTAACTCTTACAAGCTTTATACGTGTGCGATCCACATTTTATGTCTATATAAAAAAATCTCCTCTGGCTCAACTTCTGTTTTAAAAAAAAAAACTATGGCTAAACCTAACACATCAGGAACAAAGCTTCATATGAAACCCTAAGAGAGGCGGTGGTGGAGGGCAAAGAGGAGAAGTAAGTGTTAGTGGCCAAATCCTAAACGACCCGACCGCATCATTAACAGGATTTGCCCCTTTTTAACAAGTTTCTCCTAGGCAGGGGCAATCCCAATATCTAAAATACACAAGTGCAGTTCATACAAACATAACACTGTGGAGCACCAACTAGTTTTATAGTATGTGTTGATTGGTGGGTGCACTGTATGGGTCATCCCATACTAATGAGAGATGCAATTGTGCATGTATGTATAAACATGTAAATAATGATAATATGTTTGGGAGCAGAATAGAGCACATGCCTTAATTGAACATAGTCGAAGAGTAGCAGGCTGTGTAATGCTGATCCAAAAACTGGGATTGCCAGATAGCTCTGTACAACAAGATCGCTTCATTCCCAAGTTCATTTGGAATCGGCCACATGAATTCTTCTTCCCCACTCATTTCGATCCCGTGTTAACTCTTTCGGACTAGAGAGCTCTGTTAAAAAAAAAAAAAAAAGCAAAGGAAAATGGGGGACGAGAGTGTGAGTGTATGTATTTCTGACAGATGCCTCTCCACTTTGGTTAAGGTTCATGGCCTATGACTCCAACCCCATTCTTAAGTCCATCCTCTTTCTACTAATGTACAGCCATGTTTCAAACTAGTATATCTCATAGTTTCTGTTTTAATTCCCAAGCTTACGTCTGTGCGCAAGCCTGATTAAGCTTTCAGCCAGTATCCAAATCAAATCTTCCTCAGATTCCAGGCATAATCTTAATCATTTCGTGTTTGGCTAATCAGACCAAACATAAGCAGTAGTTGCTCCCATTTGCAGCATTATTTTCTACTTTAATCAAAAGGTTTTGAATTGGTCGAGTAGTGGGCCAGAGTGCCACCCTTTCTGCTCATCATCCACGCATATTCTGCCAACTGAGTTAACAAGAGCTTCCCTTTCCAACACCTTTTTAAGGTTTCTCTTTATATACCCAATTGGCAGTAACTTGTGGGCTGCACTGCTTCATTTATGCGACTGCTAAACTCCTCCATATTCCCCTTATTGCCAAAGCTTTTCCATTTCCATCGCTTATTGGGCAGAGCATCTGATCGGTATGCATCTCCTCCCCTTTTATGTCCAACTAGTGCTGTTCAGGTTTCTGCTATTGTCACATTCAGCATCTGCCGTAGTTTGTCTACAGCTTCTCCTTGTAACATCTATAGTTTCTTAGTCACGTTCTTGTTGACCCTGCACGTAATTCGGTGAAAAATATTTAATATTCAGGGGTTGACAACCACCAAGTAACTTTGGGTTGGGCACTCTTGACTATATATTCACCACAGGTGCAACTTCTCTATAAACATCACGGATGCATCTCTCAAACTCCATAATATACGGTCCTCTCTTTGGATAAACCTTCAGGGTAGAAGCACAAACATGGGGCAACATGCGAGGGAGATGCTGCTGATCATCTTAGTAGCATTCTCCGCCAAGGGAATCAGCAGAAGGCCCTACTACATTGACTTCAACACCAGCTATTGCTTAAGCTGGAGACTAGCAGTAGAAGCTAACAATGTGCGTCCATGGCGCACAGCCCCCACTCAGTGTCTGCGCCACATTGAGATATACATGCTTGGAGGACAGTATGAGAGAGACGTCGAGTTGATAGTGGAGCAGATGAAGAGCTATGTGGATGAGATTGTTCTCTCTGGTGATGGCATGGACGCATGGATCTTGGATGTTGATGACACATGTATCTCAAACATCTTTTACTATCGGCTGAGACGATATGGGTACGCACACCAGCCCCTCTGCTCATATAACTCCTTGATTGCTGTAATAAAACAAACACACCACGTGATGATTGAACAAAGTTTCACGTAATTCGATTAACACCACCAGAAGTGACCTGAAAAAGCAGAAATGCTGGAAAGTGATCTGGTCTGGTACCGTAATTTGCTGCTTCTACAACTTGTAGGTGCGAGCCTTATGATCCAATGGGTTTTAGGACGTGGGCGATGAAGGGAGGGTGTCCAGCGATCCAGCCAGTGCTTGGATTGTTCAGTAAGCTGACCGCAACAGGCTTCAAAGTGTTCCTCATAACAGGCAGAGATGGAGAGACCCTTGGCCAGGCTACACTAGATAACTTGCGTAATCAGGGATTCGCGGGTTATGAGAGGTTGATTATGAGGTAAAAACCAGGGTTTCCTAGAATCACCTTGCGCATAATAGGACAAAGAATATAAAAAGAATCCAAGCACGCGACCATCAAAGAATGATAGATCGATATTGCAGGAATCAGGAGAACAGAGGGAAAAGCGCAATCACCTACAAGGCGGCGATCAGGAAGCAGCTGACGGAAGAAGGGTACAGGATATGGGGGAATGTAGGAGACCAGTGGAGTGACTTACAAGGAGAATCTTCGGGGAACCGAACCTTTAAGATCCCTAATCCTATGTACTTCGTTCCCTAACACACGCAAAAGCAAGAGATGCACAAAATCCTACAATGTCTGCAAACGGAAAAAAGAACCAGAAACCGAAATATGGGTTTAGGCCCATTGAATATGCCCAAAGGGTAGCACTTGTTTCGCTTCAAGGTCCATGTTTCATGTTCCCGAAATCAAAACGTGTCAATGCAGCTACGTTGCATTCCATCTTTGAAGTCATCGGACTCTGGTGCTGCTTATCACTACTCTCCCTCCTATCCAAAAGAACATGTTGATGCAATTATCAAGTAGCCTGTTCAATTTGTGTTGGAGCCTTCTGCCCCATCTTGGTTATTCCTCCGGTCATTCTCTCTTCTGAAAAGTCGCTTGACCGGCTGAAGAGCCCTAGTTTCTCATATTTCATTCCCTATACTGCTCAATTCAAGGAATATATAACTACATTTTCTAAATCGGTAGTTAACCATGGACATTCATTATTCCGATAAATAGAACGCCGGAGAAAGCTGGTTTCAGTTTATATGGGCTTTTGATAACAGATGCTGGTGTAGCCTAACGGAAACGTGGGAGATCGGCTTTCGGGTAAAACAGAAACTCCCCATTTTTGTTGCGGTGCTAATGTGTAGACTAGTGAATGCCACGCAGTGCATGGAGAGGTGAGGAGATGATGAGCTTCAGCGTGAGGCTCTACCTGCGGCGGTGCGATCGGGAAGGGTGCCTATCAGTGGTGGATGGTCGGATGGGGGAATTTGCGGCAGAGAGAATGAACAAGTTTTCCCAAGTGGCGCTACTTTGGTGAGGGAGCAACCGGAGATGAGACATTCATTTCACAAGTGGTGTCTCAACTCCGAGACCTACGGAACTCCTCCTCCACATGAATCAATCCAATCACCATATATCTTTTTTTTTTAGTTTACAACAAAAATTTCAACCACTCACCTTTTTTTTGGTATATTTTTCTTTATGATGATGATGTCTCGCAAAGAGAAAGAATAAAAAAATAAGGACACAATGGCTGGTTGTGGGAATCAGCGTACCGTTTTGGGACGTTTAAAGCTGGAGTTGAAAGGAGAAAGGCTGCCAGAGCTTGGACCGGGACTCTCTTCTCTCAGCATCGCCAGCTCCCTCAGCTGCTGCCTCTTTATGTAATCTTCAGACTCCTCCTTCATCCCAAACCCCACAGCATTTTTATTCATATGCATTTCTAATCAAGTGAAGGAAAATATATATATACATATATATGATATATTAAGATGTACTCTACCACTGGCTTCAGCAGCTCTTCAATGATCTCCTGAGCCTGCTGCAGCCGTATTTCCACTATATTGGCTGGAAGATCTGCCTCTATCAAGATGTGAAGCTGATCGTTCAGGTGCTCGTATCCTGGTCTTCCCCTCAGCTTCTCTTCCTAAAGAATTGCCAGCATGTGAGATATGTGCAAGTCTCAATCCAAATCATGAGATGGGTCTCACCTTCTCTGGATCCTTAATCGATCCTTTCCCTCTGATGTACACGCGGCAGCCCGTTGTCGCTTCTACGCGTTTCAATGAGTTGCCTCTAGGGCCAAGAAGCCTTCCCACAAAATTGAACTGATATACAAGAAGTGAGTGCAAGGATATATGGGGTTATTGTCACTGCCTTGGACATGTAATTAAACATGGTTGATACGTATAAGCTCACATTTGGGTAGGAATTTACTGGAATCTCCAGACGCAATATCCTTTTCACGGTGTAAGAACTAGGGCTTGCCGGTGCACCTTGCCAGTCCATTGCCATGCCAGGAATTCGGTTAAGTCTCTGTCAGAGACTCATGAAACCAATTTAGTGTATGATCATCATCATAAAATCGAAATGGTCAACAGAACAGATGAACTCAAGAATCATGAGCACTAGCCACATTCTAGTTCTTCTCCTGCTCCAGCCGTATTTCCACTATATTGGCTGGAAGATCTGCCTCTATCAAGATGTGAAGCTGATCGTTCAGGTGCTCGTATCCTGGTCTTCCCCTCAGCTTCTCTTCCTAAAGAATTGCCAGCATGTGAGATATGTGCAAGTCTCAATCCAAATCATGAGATGGGTCTCACCTTCTCTGGATCCTTAATCGATCCTTTCCCTCTGATGTACACGCGGCAGCCCGTTGTCGCTTCTACGCGTTTCAATGAGTTGCCTCTAGGGCCAAGAAGCCTTCCCACAAAATTGAACTGATATACAAGAAGTGAGTGCAAGGATATATGGGGTTATTGTCACTGCCTTGGACATGTAATTAAACATGGTTGATACGTATAAGCTCACATTTGGGTAGGAATTTACTGGAATCTCCAGACGCAATATCCTTTTCACGGTGTAAGAACTAGGGCTTGCCGGTGCACCTTGCCAGTCCATTGCCATGCCAGGAATTCGGTTAAGTCTCTGTCAGAGACTCATGAAACCAATTTAGTGTATGATCATCATCATAAAATCGAAATGGTCAACAGAACAGATGAACTCAAGAATCATGAGCACTAGCCACATTCTAGTTCTTCTGCCGTATAAACAAACTAGAAGAATTGTCCAAGACTGAAGCCTCGACCTAATGATCTCCATCATGTTGCATGGGGAAACAGCTTAACCCATCAAGGAAGCGGAGATTTAACCTACATGATGCAACTGCATAACAAAAGAAAATACCTCCTGAGAAAGGCCAGTCCAGCCACCTAATCCAGTGTTAGGGACATTAGACATAAGATTAGAGGATGCCATGGGACTGGGACTTCTGTGTCGGAGTCTATCGATTTCGCCAATTCCATGGTTGCTCATCATTCCAGAAGCCCGAAATATCTCTGCACACCAATTTGAGCAGCAGTATCATATATGAATGGCTATCCATGAATGCCTAAGTAACTACAAACAAGCACATGCCGTTTAAGACTAGTTTTGAAGCATCTAATGCTGAATTCCTTTTCCTGCAAAGGCCAAACATCATAATGAACCAGAAACAAGCCCCTAAGACTAAAAGCTAGGTTTTTTCGCTGAAGTCGTGGACCTGCAAAGACTAAACAACTCGATCAAGGAAAGATCGATGATTGACCATTAACTTGTTCTTACACTGGGGCTAGCTAGATAAAGCCATTCGACAGCTTTGCAGACACACTGGCGACGAAAGTTGAACACCAGAAGAATGATCAGGAAGCGTTCAAAAGAGTGTCGAACATCATCAGATAACCGAAATACTAATCCTATACATTTCGGGGAATGTGAAGGGCGTGAACGGAGAGAAACCCGATGAGGAGACCGCAAGCAAACCCACAAAGAAAAAGAAAAAACGAGATCCGAAGAGTGAAAAATTTAACCTTGATTCAACAGTCGACTGCATATTGGGAGAATCTGCGTGAAGGGAGTAAGCTTTTGATGTTCGGTGAGAAGCTCCGACAAGTATTGAGTACTGAAGAAGAAGACGAAACAGCACGGGTAACAGATCGATACCCAGGAAAAGGCAGAGAAACGAAATCTGAGGGAAGAATTGTGAATACCTGTCGACATCCGGAGTACTTCTAATCTGAGGAGAAGCAGCTCTAGCAGGAGAGAAGTTAGAGTTATTGTACAAACCAGACATGGTTTTTCTCTCTCCTCAACAAAAACGAAGCTTTCAGGAAAAAGGGGTTGGCGATGGAGTTGCAGATGAAAAATAGAAGAGGAGGAGGCAGGGATGCATCGAGAGAGACCCAAACCAAAAAGGACGAACACCAAATGTGATTTCTGCAGCAAACATGACAGACTTTTTTATATTTTTTCTTTTTTGTTTTTGTCATTTTTTTTTATCTCTTACAAAAAAAAAGTTCCCACTTTTATTTACTTGTTTATCCTTGGAAATACTAATTTTTAAAAGAATCTCCTAAGTTATACCATAAAAAATAAATCAATAATTTTTATATTAAAAAATATTAATATATTTTAGATATTGTATTTCTTGAATACGTAAAAAATTATGGAGTGAAAGAAATATTTAAATACTGTAAAATTATCATTTAAAATTTAAATGTTTGAAAAATTAATGAACATAAAAATGTTAAATGTTTCAAAAACATAAAGTTTTTTAATGAAATAAAAATACAGCGAGAGGGGAGATTTAGAGAAATCAGGGAGAGCTAAATGTTAGGCGACAAAAGGGATCATCACCTGTTACAGAGTTTGAAAAATAAATAAATAAATAAAATAAGCAGACGATGGACGATAATTTTTGGATGTGTACGTGACTACGTACACCCTACGTAGGCTACGGGGGATGCAATACGTGTCAGCTCCATTTATACAAGATATATAATATTATTAGACGGTGTAAAACAATTGTTTTAAGGAACCAAAATTGCAATGATTTAATAGAAGGCAAAAAAATTGTATAACAATAATAAGTCGATGCAATAAAAATAGAAAATCATAATTATGTGATGGCAGGTGAAAAATGATGAGAAATGCCAGCTCAGGCATAGCTGTACGGCCACAGTTTTATTCTTTAAAACAATTGTCTTTTTCTGTACACAGCAAATTGTAGTTATAATAATTATATTGCGATGGAAGCCCGCATTAGTGTTGGGCTTTGAGTTTTGTATGAGGGCCTTCCACTCGATCTCCATCCAAAATTTGAAATATACGCAAGCATGTCTGTATATATATATATATATATATATATATGTCCTCTATTTTTCAGACTATATATATAGATAGGTGTACTGTATGCATCTGTTTAAGCCGGAGGCACCTCTCCATCTTCACCTCTCCCATCTCGGAGGTCTCCATAAGAGCCCGATGTCTCCGCGACGGAGGCCATTGGGGAGGCCGATCGATGAGAATGAGAATTCGCCATTAGAGGCTCTTCTTACGAGAGAACACGATATCCAGCAAGTGCTTCCTTCGACGCCGTGAAATCTCCTCCCGTAAGGACCGAGCTTTCTCCATTAGCACCGCCCAGGAGAGGCTCCGCAACATGCGCCTCGTCGTACGCCCTCTCCCTTCCCCATTGATTTCTTCCCTCTACATGCCCTAATTCCTAGGATTCTCTGTGTGTGCAAACCTAGCAATCAAGCTCCTCACTCTGTGTTGGCTCGCAATTCAGTGCTGCTTAATTTTTCAATCCCTTGCCGATTTTTGCATCAGGAGCAATATGACGCACAGGATCCCAAGGGGCACCGTTTACCCTTTTTGATAAAAAGAAGTAGGGTTATCGAGATAGTGGCCGCGCGTGACTCTGTCTTTGCTCTTACCCGTTCTGGTGTTTGCACAGCGTTCAGCAAGGGTGCTTCGCCTCACCCCTACCCATTTTCCCTTTTAATTCTCTGCGTTTCGATGGCCTGTCTTACTAATTGCAAAGATCAACAAAAGGCCTGATGAAGTCATCCGCAGCTCGTTCTACGACAAGAAAAATGATTCTCTCACCACAGTTTCAGTTTATGCTTCAGACAATTTCAGCTCTTTGAAATGCAGATCCACTGGGATTGAGTCTGTCTCCGCTCCTACCTCCTATTTGGTTACCTTTTGAGCTGCCACCCAGACTTACTCACTCCTCGGTGTCCATTTCTCAACTGCTAGGCATATGCTGAGGGCTCAACCTGACGCTGGGTTTGCTCTGTTTGAGTCTGAATCATTCCAGGTTTCATGGAGTTTGATGATGTTAATGGGAAGGTGCTGACGTATTCCCTGCAGCTTCTTTGACTGAGGAGTGTTTCTGTGTGGAATTTTCATCTTCCATGGCATCCAGAGTGTAACACGAATAATATTTGCATAACGATTGATAAGGATATGATCGTTTCATACCCCAAGGCAGATGGATAAAAGGAGACGGTAAGTCTCAACAGGGACACAGAGACGCTGGCTCCCCTCTCAAGTTGCTGCAGAAGGAGAAGCAACCTTTAACTGATTTCGTTTTCATCCAACCAACAGAGGAATATTAATGGAAGTGCCTGCAAGAGGTGTAATCTCGTCTTCGTTCCCACAGTACTTTTTAAAAAGCTTTGTCCATTTCCAAGAGGCATCAGCCCCACATGTCTACGAGCTTTGCACTGAATCATATTTCAGACAGACATAGAAGAAGCACCACATTTCACTTGTGGGGCCGATATAAAGAGATGCGCGTTGTGGTGTTGACAATGCATTGCCGTAAGCACCCTCCTCCACCACCGGCCCTCTGAGGGAATCCATGGTCGGCGGTGGTGAACAAAAAACATGTCTCTGTGTATAACATGTTCATATATATATATATATATATATAAAGGCACCTTACATGTAGCAACTTATTTACAAAAAGGGTCAGGTATTGTTGTGTAAAGAATTAATGGGACCCAAACATCTGGTCGAGGAGGATGACGAGTGCCATGGCGACGCTAGTATCCATGTCGGGCTCTACTACCAGCGTAAATACGTCAGGTCCAAACCCCACTCCTCCAACCCTTTCTTTCCTCTTCATCTCCCCGGCCTTCCTCTTCCTCTTTTCATCCAATATTCTGCAGCTTCTTTGGCTGTATGACCCCTCTATCTCGTACAACGTCGTCTTCTTTGTGCTCATCACGTACGCCAAGCTCTTGCTGTTCTTGGGCATGATGCTGACGTGCTTTCTCGCACAAAATCTTGGGTCTCTCTCTGTTTCTCCGTCGTATACCAACCAGCAATCTCCCAGCAGGCTTAACTTCTACAGACAGATAGATATGGTGGTCAGTATTAGCTTAATTCGTGGGTACAAAACATCAAAAGAGGGTTGAAAAAAGAAAGATAGAGGTACCTTGCGGCGGATGGTGAGGAGGGGTTCGCCGGAGGCGTTCATGAGGACAATCTTATGCTTGTGTCCGTTCATGTAGTTGTCGACCCTGAAGACGAGGTTTCCTTTGCCGTCATAGACTGTGAAGCCCTCGCAATTGAAGAGCAGCGACTTCTTCCACACTGTCAAAACGGATGCTCTTTCATCAAAGCTCGTGCAAGCGTTGTTTGGGTGAACCTTTGTCATCTCGATCGCCTTCTTCTTTCTCTCGAGATTGTTTATCTGTGAATGTATATGACCAAACCCGGGTGCTTATTTATATACCAGAGAGAGAGAGAGAGAGAGAGAGAGGAATCAGATGCTCAAGTGCTCTCATCTCATCTTCGGCCCTTTTGGTTGCACAAAGCTCCAAATCACAATGCGCCACCATCCTAATGCATGTCCCTTTCCACCCATTATTCTATGACTCCGTCGGTCAAATGTTTCTGCTTTTATTTATCGAATGGCTTTATTTATCAAATATCTTATTTGATATTTTTTATTTCTTCCACTCCCCCGGGAACCTTGCTTGGCAATTTCACTTGCACGATTTGCAAAAAAAGATTCAAACTTGATGGAAGTCCAGTTTGATCCTTAACCACATCGTATCTTGTTTCAGTGTACAATGGATGCTGAAACAATGCGCACCCCATCCGTTTTCGTTTAAATTAGGGTAGCCAGCCAATATATAAATATTCGTTTTTATTACTGGATAGAAACAGCCCCATCTATGATTTTTGAGCGATACAGTGTGCTTTGCGTGTATAGGTATCAAAGAACCGGATAAAGACCAACATATAAAACACTGTCAAAATAATAATAATAATCTGGTACAAAGGATGGGAAAGAAGACGAGTTGTGCTCCAATATTTGCTTGGAATATGATAACGAGGGACCCCCCATTATACAGAATTGTAATTTAATAAATAATCTTAGCTTTAAAGTGTGTGGCTGAGGAGCGACGAGCGGTGGAGCTTTGAGATTCAAAATGTTATAATACGGCTGATATTTTCGTATAATATTCGATTGGCCAGCAGGGGTCGTTCCACTGACTTTGACTTGTTTTCTGAGTGATTTGCGGTCATGCGTCATTTGTTTTTGTTCCCATAAAAAGTGGTTGCCACAGTTGTCATTATTCGAGTTTGATTCCGTTATTTCGACTGTAAAAAAATTATAACTATTCGATTTTTATATAAGTTTTAGTTCGATTTAGTTCGGTTTCGGTAAAACATTTATTTTTTCAAAGATATTGTCAGTTTTTTTCGTTATTTTTTTTATTCGGTTCGATTTCTGTTTATTCGGATTTTGATGTCGGATTCGATTCGGATACGGTTATATTTTATTCAGCTCAGTTTAGTTAGATTATTCGGTTAATAACTGAAATTGCCACCCTAGTTGCCACTCGCTCTGGCTGCGTTCCTATTCTCACAGTTACTCTTAACATAAATAAATAAATGTCGGAGGAAATTGCTGATTGGACAATATCCCAGCTCTGGACAGATTCCCAGCACCCTGACTCCATGGGCAGTCACGTTTTTCTCTTGACAAACCATGCTCATACCGAGGAATTATAGTTTACTATTATGGAATTGTGTTTCGACGTTAATATAATAGAGAAAATGTTTTTCTATTATTGATAATGGGAAGAATACATCATAATATATATAGCAAAATACAATAGAATGTTCTAGATATAACATCTAGGGTAAATCATAATCATATCAATGATAATATTCTAATAATAATATCTTCCTATATGCCCCCTCATGATGAATCATCTATGATGAATTCAATCTTGTTACATAAAAACTGAAAACTGAAATTGTGATCGTATTAAACGAATCATCTTCCATGTGGTGGTGTAGTTCAGACTTGAGTCTGTGTTGCTTGATAACGTTTGAAGAGTTTGAGAGTTGTATTCTCAGAGGCTGATGTGGCACGAAAGTGCGACGCGTATGCATGAATTGGGTTGCACGACAATGAAGTCGGCAGCGCAAAAAACTGCGGTGTATATAGCGGCTAGGCCGGAGAAAAGAAAAAAAAATAGGCGCAAAAGCGCGACGCATAATGCGTGATAGTCTAGCAGTGAGACAAGATGATAGAATAAAAATAAGTGACACAAATACGTAGATCGACGATCGGAATTTTCCAATCGAAAGAGGCTAAAAGCCATGTTTAAAGAGCTCACAATGGCTAGGGTTGACATCGATAAACGAACTTCGTCAGAGAAAAAAAAAAGAGTAGCACGTCGGCTAGGGTTACAGTGATAAATACCGCCGTCGGAAAAAAAAACTAAAAGAAAAAAAAATGAATGCAAGACGATAGTCAATGTGATGATACTATTGGAGTTAGTATATCATCGTTATCTTCATCGTCGTTTTCGAATTCAACGAACATTGTTGATAAGAAAAAAATTAGAACAAAAACCGAAACTGTGATACCATAATAGAGAAATAGATAGAGAATCAATAGATTTCTCATTATTCAATATAGAGAATTACAATATTTATAGGTAGAAAATAGAATCACAACGTATCTTATTTAATCAATATAAATATAGAAAATATAGAAATAAAATCAAATCTAAATATTACGTAATCTTTTTGAACCTAAGGTTAACATCGATAGACGAACGTTGTCAGAGAAAATAAAAGAGTAGCACATCGGTTAGGGTTGACAGTGATGAACACCGCCGTCAAGGAAAAAAATAGAAGAAAAGAAAGAGCAAAATAAATTTAAAACGATACTCAAGGCGATGATACTATTGGATTTAGTATATCGTTGTCATCTTCATCGTCGCTTTCGGATTCGACCAACATTATTGATGAGAAGAAAAAAAATTAGAGCAAAAATCGAAACTCTGATACCATAATAGAGAAAATATTTTTCTACTATTGATAATGGGAAGAATACATCATAATATATAGCAAAATACAATAGAATGTTCTAGGCATAATATTTAGGGTAAATCATAATCATATCAATGATAATATTCTAATAATAATATCTTCCTATATAGTGTTCTTTTACGAGGAAAACTTGTTCCCACAAAAAAAAATATATATTTGGAGAAAGATTTGGAGAAAATTGAAATTGAGTTACAATATTTGGTGCTTGGTTCATAGACATGCTTCAATGCTGGTCTTTGCGGCTTGGTGCGAGAGAAACTTAGCCTGAGACCTAAGTAGTACTTAACCAAATCAGACAAATGATTTCTTTTATCCTTTTCGCTTGAAAAAAAAAGGTAAATTATGACATTAAAAAACAAAAGAAAAACAGGTGAATGTAGTAAAGTATCCATTATGTAGAGTGAATTTGCAAAAAGAATATTATTGGATAGTTAGTTTTTAAAAATTATTATTGGATACAACAATTCAAGATTTAGGATCATAATATATATCTATATATATAACAAAATCTGAATTTAACATATGATATTATTGAATAATCCTCTAAAATCTAGGTCTTCTTGGTTTTGAACTAACTATATAGCAACCATCCATTTTCCTTTTTCTATGCGTCTATCCATTAAAAGAATTATATTTGATTTATATGTGTAAGAAAACCTGGAATTCGAGATCCAAAAGCGAATCCGTTTAGATTGATTGTAAATTTCGGTTGGAATCACGTATTCGTTCTTCGTTTGTCTTCTGTCATTGGTCAAGAATCTGATTATTAGAGACCACAAACACAATACCACGGCGAAATGTTTTATCAACAATTTGGTAGCGTCTATATTTTTTCGATCACTTAGCCCTTTCGGAGAGTTCTCTTGAATAGAGAACGGATGGATATCAAAGGAAAAGATACACTCATCCGTCACATCTTTTCTAATAAACATATCCATAGATACATGCCTTTTCGGTGCATATATTGTTGTAGTTATGCTCTAAACGAACAGATGTATATTTGTAATAAAATATTTATGGAATAATATGATTATTCGTTTATTATTATATTTACATGTTTATTAATAATAAACATTATCCGTGTATTATTTTGAATAATACTATATGTCTTAGTCAGTTATTATCGTGAGAGCGATAATAAAGAAAGACTAGTGTGATGTGTATGCATGACGTATTGGATACGTGCTACAGTCACAGTTACACATTTGGAACGTGTGACTGGCTGACCCGTACATGATGGTTGGTTCATAGTCATGAATCAAAATCGACATCATTATAATATGTCACTTTTGTCCTTTGACCTGAGATAGTTATTGGTATTCTCCGTAATTAGTTTCGTGTCTTGACATAGTAAAACTTCGCCTTAACACGGTGGTTATAAAGGTTATGCTCAGATGCGCAACGGATTATGTGGTGGATCGTAGCGAATCAAGATGGGAATATCTCTCCTGATTATAGGATAGATATCGCTGGCCACTCAGTGGTTAATCATGTTGTAACGTGTTTGGCCAAGCCATAAATGTTAGACATCTATATTAACATGTGATTAACGGATGAAAAAGCGGTCGAATTGGTTAAGGTTGATTGACACCATGCCTTACGTTCGACTGTTATATATCGCCAGACAAAGGGACATTAGTTCGATGATATTGTAGGCACAATCGAGGTGATAACTCGGTTTAACGTGTGTAATTGATATGTGCTAAATGCCACTATCAACGTGTATGGTTAAATAAGATTTTATCGTTACGGCCACGTTAAACGAGGTCTACCGGGTTACACACGTAGGGTTATAACGGATTTATATATTTGATATATGTCGGTTATAGGCTCGGGTATATTTTCTCGAGCCTATTTATTACTCAGTTATTTTATCGGTTTATATTTACGAGATTAGTCTTGGTATATGTGATACATTTTCAGAATACGAAATTCATTTTGTATGACGTAATACATTCATTAAATAAGATTCCTACAAACTTATTTAATGAAGATAAATATGTCTCTTTATATTCTAAAACCTATTAAATGAACTTGACTCTTCATTTACTTTGAGATTTCTATAAATTGACATCAGATGTCTCATATAGCCTAAACTGACGAATCCTGAGGGTACTAGCATACTGACCCGACGTGTGGATACCAGTAGAGGCGTTCTTCTTTGCACGCTCTTTCTTCGTCTCCGACTCTCCGATTCTGCATTTGAAGGTACGTTTTACCACACATATTACGATGATCCGACTAGTCTATGTTTAAATTCATGCAATTGTTGTATGTAATTATTCCGTTGCACGTAAACCTAGACAGAAATTATAGCTACGATTAGATCGTTAGGCTCTTTGTTTTCCTACAGTGGTATCAGAGCCTGACTCACATTGTAATACGTGTTGACGTTTTAAGTCAGAATTTAAAATTCGGAGAACATAATTTGGAATTATGCATGAATTCGGGTTTGCATGAATACGGTTAAATGTTAATATTCTTCCCTCGTCTCCGTGACATCTTCAACTCTCCGATTCTACGTTTTAAGGTACGTTTTACCGTACAATTACGATGATCCGGCTAATCTATAAGTTTAAATTCATGTCATTGTTGTATGTAATTTTTTCGCTGCAAGTAAATCTTGATAGAAATCTTAGTTACGATTAGATCGTTAGGCTCCTCGTTTTTCTTCATGTATCCCATCATCTCCCACTCACACTAAAAGACATCAAAAATACCAATTTCGAGTTTATACTAGCAAAATAGATCACGTATCTACCGAATATACTTGCATCCGGAAGTTCAAAAGTAGAAACCCACACGTATGATGAGTATTCTAATTTTTGATACTCGTTTTCGTCTTCGTTAGGTGTCGAGTACCTGTTTTTCTGGTATCCATGAGACCGGGTACCCGTTTACCGGCAGGTAACGGGTTTAAATGCCCAGTCCTAATATTAACCCTTTAAAATCATCAATCTAAATCAAATTACAAAATATTAACCTTCCAAAATATTCAATCCAAATTTTAAATCACAAAATCTTCGAAAGTTTTCAAAATTTTCAATTTTCACCATTTTTTATTTTCATTTATTTTAAATATATAATAAAATAATATATAATATATATAAAAATAAGATTTTAATAAAATAAAAAAATTAACTTGTAATTATTTATAAAATAAAGGTTAAGATTATGAAAATTGAAAGTGAAATTGTAAATATTTAGAATAAAATACTAAAAACTAAATATATTAATAACTGTTCGATTAACCGTGTTTATTCGATTAATAGTCAAACCGAATCGAATCCGAACGATTATTGAATTTACTCAACCGATCGGTTATTAAATAAATAACCGAATCGAACCGAACTATCGTTATTTTATTCGATTCGATTCGATTCGATTATTCGGTTAATAACTGAAATGACTGTCTAAACGCGGTGTGTTCAACTGTAAACCAAAACCTTTAGATTTATATATTTAGACTAATCTTTACTCGTCTATGTAGATACACTAGACAACTAAATGATAAAGTAACTAAAAGATAACTCTATTTCCAGTCCCAGAACAGGATGTGAAACCCTAGCTCTGGATGATGAACTGCCTTGCCTTTCAGGTTTATTTTCTTTTTTTACGAGAATAGAGAAAGAAAAGCTGGGGACTGTAATTAAGGGGCAGACGGTAAAAAATACAGGTTGCGTCCTCGGCGTCTGTTTTTTCAAATTTTACCGACGGAGAAGAAACGCAGGATCTGAAAATGTGAAAGAAGAAAAAGAGAAGGGAATCACACACACATAGAGAGAGAGAGAATGGTATCGGAGAAGGAAAAGACAATTGGAACCTGTTTGGTCGGAGCTGCGGCGGCGGTCGTAGGAGCGTCGCTGCTCCATCTCTACCTGAAAGGAGACCCGTTTCCATTAGGATTAGGTTTAGGTTTGGGATTGCCATGGCGCAGGTTCAGACAGCGGAAGCCTGTTCGCGTCTACATGGATGGTTGCTTCGACATGATGCACTACGGCCACTGCAACGCCCTCCGACAAGCCCGTGCTCTCGGTGATCAATTGGTAGTCGGTGTCATCAGCGACGAAGAGATCATCGCCAACAAGGGTCCTCCTGTCACGCCCCTTCACGAGAGGTCTCTCTCTCGTTGTTCTTAGTTTCTCTCGTTGTTTTTAGATCTGATTCCGTACGTTTCTGATTCAATCATGTGATTCCATGGCAGGCTGATAATGGTGAAGGCTGTGAAATGGGTCGATGAGGTCATCCCCGACGCTCCTTACGCCATCACGGAAGATTTCATGAGGAGATTGTTCGACGAGTACCAGATCGATTACATCATACATGGGGACGATCCCTGCGTTCTTCCAGATGGAACCGATGCTTATGCCCTCGCTAAGAAAGCTGGTCGCTACAAGCAGATTAAGCGCACTGAAGGCGTTTCTAGCACCGACATCGTTGGTATTTATACTATGCGCCCTTCATTTTTTTTGCACTCCCATTATAAGTATGACAACAGTGCATCTACTGTATTTATGCATTTCTTGGTTGTTGATGAGTTAATCATCACCAGGTCGTATGCTTCTGTGCGTAAGAGAAAGATCCATTAACGACAGTCACAACCATTCCTCTCTGCAAAGACAGTTTAGCCATGGTCACACCCCAAAATTTGAGGATGGGGGTTCTCCCGCTGGAACCCGTGTCTCACATTTTCTTCCTACATCTCGGAGGATTGTCCAGTTCTCCAATGGCAAGGTTCGCTCTTCAAAATGTGCGCTGTGTTTGAAACTTAACTTCATCACTCCCTGTCTGATTTTATTATTTGTTGTTATTGTTATTGTTATTGTTGTTCTTACTCTTATTGTTATTATCATCGCCCGTGTCATCGTCATCATCTTAACTTAGATTCAGTGGAAATGGTACAAATGCATGTATAGTTTCTGTTGCTTGACCATCCCCTAGATAGAACTAGAAGATCCTTGGTGTTAGATTGAACATTGAGTTCTGATATGTTTGACATCTTAGCAATATAAGCAAGTCCAATTTGGAGCTGGTCTTGCTAATCCAACGTAGCAGGTTAACTGCTTAAGTATTTTTCCTTTCCTTTATTTGCACAATATTTGATCGACTCTCAGTAGTATGCCTTTCTTACTGTTGTTTACAAGTTACTTGTTCATCTTTTATCTCTGTTTCTCCGAGGCAGAGGTAAAATGCTATTTCTTGCCTTGGTTTTTTCCCTCATTTTTCTTGTTGCTTCGCACTATCATAACTTTGTTATGGATGAAACTACGTGTTTGTGGGACAGGGGCCAGGACCTGATGCACACATAATATATATTGATGGCGCTTTCGATCTGTTCCATGCTGGCCATGTTGAGGTACAATGTTTTATACTCGCAGTTACCTGAGTATCAAATGTTATCAGATCTTTGATGGATGGAATTGTAAATTGATCATTGGCACTTGGATCAGCAATGACTGTGATGGGTAATACAGTAACCTTTAACTCGAGTTGAATAAAGTAAATACCCTAATGAATAATGGATACAATATAATGCAATAATTAGTTGAAGATGCTGAACTGGCAAGTCTTTGAAAAGAAATAATAATAACTTGGTCCCAGGCAAATGACCGGAATCGAACCCGCGAATGGTGGATTCATAGTCCACTGCCTTGATCCACTTGGATACATCCCCCCTATCTATTATTTTTTGTTGAAAATCGTAGTAGGATTTTAGAGATAAGGAATAAAGAAATTATGAATAAATCAGAGCGATTTTTTCCTAAATTCAAGCAATCTTTGCAATATGCATTGCCTGTGATGTCCTTGTTTCGAAGGGAAAGCTACAAATCTGTGATATGATGTTAGTCTGCCATACTGAATGATTCTTTTGCATTTTTTTTTGGATTTGTTAAGATTCTTAGGGTTGCTCGAGAGCTTGGAGACTTCCTACTCGTTGGAATACATGATGACCAGACTGTCAGGTTCAAAAGCTCACGAGTCTCTTGTGAATTATGTTTGTGTATAACATTGTTAGAACACGATGTTTGTGTATAAAATTGTTAGACCACCTAAACCCTAAAACCTAAAACCTCGGTTTCTATGATTGATAACATTGTGTTCTTTATACGTGGGCATGCAGAGCTGAAAGAGGAGCACATCACCCTATCATGAATCTTCACGAAAGAAGCCTGAGTGTTCTGGCTTGTCGCTACGTAGATGAGGTGATAATTGGTGCTCCCTGGGAAGTGTCAAAAGACATGGTGAGTTTTTATGAGTTATCCAGTGTTCTCATTTTGTTCACAATCTGCATGCTGTTTTGCAAGGATATTGTTTGTGCTTCCAACGCATACGTTGTCCTTGTCCCCTCCTTTAATGTGGCTGGATTTCTGATAGTTAACCTTGAATAATTAAAGGGTCATGTCATCCGTACCTCATAACATTTAAACACGGCTTTGTCTATCTCTTTTTTGTTTTTCTCGGAAAAAATGAAATTTGGTATCATCCTTTTTCATTCTTTGTGGTTGGAGACTGTATTGTGATCTTGTTGATCAATAGTTCTGTGAATTGCAAGGGAAGCTATTTTAGTTGTATGTGGGTTTTGCTGGGAAGCCAGTCATGTCTCAAGTAGCAGCCGATACGAGGGTTGAAGCATGAGCTGTTTTTTTACCAAATGCGATCCATATACGGCTGCGCATTTATAACCTTATTGTTTGTTACAGATCACAACGTTTAACATTTCTCTGGTCGTCCATGGAACAGTGGCAGAAAGCAATGATTTTTTGAAGGTAAGACAATGTTTTTATCTGATCACTAGGTAGTTTATGTTTGACCAAAAAATGGTTCCATTTATAATGTATTTCAACTGTTTTCAGGAGAAAGATAATCCTTATGCTGTACCAATCAGAATGGGCATATTCAGAATTCTAAAAAGCCCTCTCGATATCACAACCTCCACTATAATAAAGAGGATAGTAGCCAACCATGAAGCTTACCAGGTAAATTGCACTGCCTAAGCTTCCCGGGTAAAGGTGTTATGACGAGGTTCTCTTGTTCTAGCATATGCCATTGGTTAGTTGTTGCGAGGATGAAGGATCTAAGTGTAACCTAAGCAGTTTCTTGATTGATTCTACCGGAATATTTAATGCCGTAGGTAAAGCAGGCCGCTGGGTATTGTTGATTGTAGTTGATGATGGGTCACTAAGCAAGAGTTGATCATGTTCAACTGTGTAGGCTAAGTTATCTTCTTCCCTTTTTGTGGTAGCAACTAACATCGGTAGTATGTGTCATCGCAGAAGCGGAACACGAAAAAGGAAGCCAGTGAGAAAAGGTACTACGAGGAGAAGACTTACATGACGGGGGATTAGGACGACAGTATTTAGGCCCTTGAGAAGCTGCTACACACTCTTAGAGAAGTTTTTGGTGGCATGCTGCTGCGACCATTTGGTTTACAAGGAAGAAGCAGTGGCAACTCTTAGATCTGTTTGTAGAATACTCACACTGTGGATGTGGATGTTCGTCGCCGGGGATCATCCATCCCCTGTAAGAGAGAAGAGAGTTTAGGGTTTCACAAATTTGGGTTATCCACTTTTAATGGACTGCGGACAGTAATCATGACCAAACAGGAATAATATACCAGCCTAACTCAAACAGAAACTGTGAAACAAATATAAGAATAAACTGAAATGCACGATCCAACGTGAGCATACGAGGGCTCTATTTATATAAATACCTTAATTTAAATGTGAAAAGTAAAATAAGAAAAAAATATATTTTATGGCCATTGAAATTGTCAAGGTACACGGAAGGTACCCAAACAAAACCCTAAGACAATCTCAATCCTTAACACGCACACATATGGATCGATCGTACGTGATACATGTGGACTAGTGAAGGGGAGGCGCGTGATCATCTGGGTCGTGATGCCGACTCTCCAAAGAGAGCTGCTTCTGCAGCCACATCTGGCGGTGAAACCTCCTTATGAACAAGTCAGCGAGCTGGTCGATCTCTTCTCCTCGGTCTTCGTTCGGGTGCACTTTAGGCATCTCTGTCACCGAAGCCCGACACTCTTCATCCTCCTCCTCTTCCATCTCGCACTTCGTATACACGGGGCTGACGGCGGTCTTATACACCACCACCGTCTTTCCCTGGTCCGTTTCCTCTTCTCCTTGGCTTTTAAGCTGGTGATTCATCAAGCCCTTGAGCTTGTGAGAGAAGGAGCTGCTGTGGAGCAAAGATAATATCACCAGACGGGTCTTGAAGGCCCTTGTCTTCCTCTTCAACGCCATTGTCAACTTGCTTATCATGTGTTTCAGTAACCCTGCGGCTGTGTTCTTCATCCTGACCTATATATATATATATGGTGTCGGTGTTGCTTCTTATAATTAGTTCGTTTATCATTATATATCAGGAACGAGTGTTGATATATATACATATATACACAAACCTGCACGAATACGAATACGATCGAGATACGTACAAAGGTGGTGCGTGATGGTGTCGCTGAGTAAAGCTCGAAAAGCATTGAGGGGACGCGTGGCTGCGTTTTGTTGGTTCCTTCTTTCTGTCACCCATATTTCACTTTCCCGTAATTTGATTTTTTACTATCTAACTAAACCAAAGATACAACATGAGAGAGATATTGCTCTTCATCAATATCCAAACTGCATAATAAGTTGTATATTGTATAGTCACAATTGAGTTGATTAACGTGGAATAGTACGAATGAAACATTAGAGTTCACAATTTAGGAAAACAAACTAAGAGAATTAAAATATTTAAAAGAGCAACACATATTTAACTTAGGATTTACCATTTTTAAAAAAAAATACAAATATCATATAGGTTACGAAAGCTCCTCGTGAAGCAGGAAAAAAAAAATCCACTCTCTAAAGATTCGTAGCCGTTGATTGAGGCTAGATTTTTTCCTTTATTAGAGTGAGAACAAAACTTTATCTTTTTGGTTTAGCTTTTCAATGTTACGTTTAATTATTATGTATTCTCCTTCACTTTTCACGTATTTGTGTACATGACGATGATTGTCCGGCAGTCAGGCATCTCATGCAATCTACAATGGATTACCAATACGTGAAAATGCGAACTGCTGAATAGTCGTGGTGGTGGGGATATGGGGAAAAGATGGCAAGTGGACCAACAAAGATGTGTTCGGGACTTCGATCCAATAATTTTTGGGTGTTTCTGGAGTAGAAATAGTATGTGTTTTACGGCAGCAATATATACAGACAAATGTCGCTTTCACCTGTAATAGAGTACAAAATACAAAAACAAAAGGCGATATATTCCCATCAGGACATTTTTTCAACTCGTTTGAAACTCTCTATACATTGAAACAATATTGATTCTTTTCTCTCTCTCTTTAACTTAACCACTAAGGCTTCGCCTTGTCGTCCATTACACGATGTAAAACCACAAGCCGACACATCCTCCCGCTCCAACGTTTTCGGAGCCCAGTGCAAGATAAAAAATTTATGAGAAAGTTGGTAAAATATATCCGAACAAAAACGAAATTTGCAAAATATTTTAAAAAAACAACTTTTGCATTTTTCTTCTTCTTCTAAATACTCAAATTACTCTTCACAGTATTTATCTACGATTCTGTATTAATCTAATTTTTAGAAATCGGTAAGTTTTGATATTTGATCTTTTTATTTTCTCCAATATTTTCTCTATCTCTTCTATTTCTTATATAGTTTATCTACTCTATTCAAATACTCTTCTCGTTGATTTTTTTCTGTGATATTCTGATCATTTTTTTGTACGCACATAGCCACATAAAGTGTTTGATGACCTATGATCTGTGAAATATGACATGTACTCTGCATTAAATGACCTACGGTCTGACAGATGACCTGTGATATGCCGCAAATGACTTGCGGTCTGCGACAGGTCATTTGACCTGTAGCATGTCATTTGGCAAGTCATTTGACCTGCGACAGGTCATTTGGCCTGCAGCAGGTCATTACGACTGACCAGATAATTGTGATCGTGATTTCACTACGACCATATAACTACGACTACGACCAGATAATTGCGATCATGATTTCACTACGACTAGATAATTACGATTACGACCAGATAATTGCGATCGTGATTTCACTACACCATATAAGTACGACTATGACCAGATAATTGTGAGCGTGATTTCACTACGACTAGATAATTACGACTACGACCAGGTAACTACGACTACAACCAGAAAAGTGTTTTTCATGTATGTGGAGGAAAACGAAATTCATACTCTTTTAGAAATCGAAACGTTTTGCTATTTGATCTTATTTTTTCTCCAACATTTTTTCATCTCCTCTACTTCTTACAGTTTATCTAATCTATTCAAATACTCTTCCGGTTGATTTCTTTTTCTGTGATATTGTGATCAATTTTTTGTATGTACAAGATGTTTGATAAAATGTCTGTAAAAGAAAACTGTAGAAGATGACTTGTCGTATGTGAAAAATGACCTACGTTATGCGGTAAATGACTTACAACCTACGGCAGATGACCTACGGTTTGACAAATGACATATGGCCCGTGGCAGGTCATCTTCGCACCTGCGACACCTGTTGCACCTACTAATCTGCAAGTGTTTTTTCATGTATGTGGATGAAAACGAAATTCATGCTAAGTGTTTTTTATAAATGGAGAAAATCTGTAGGTTATAATAATATAGAAGGGTATGATGGTCATTTTAACTTAAAAAAAGTATAGAATATAAAGATTACAATAGTAGAAATATAGAATACAAAGATTTTTTTTTGTACATTTATGCAAATATTCTCAAATTTTATTTATTTTTATTATAAAAATATTAAATTTTAAAATATTTAAATGTAATTTATCATGAATAATATTAAAATGTTAATACAGAAAATTATAATCTAAAAAATATAAATATGACAAAAATAACATAATTATATGAATTTTTTCACTTAAAAAACATCGTCACTTTAAAGAAAAATAAATATGTAATTAAGATGACAATATTATTATTATTATTAATCATAAAAAGTTATAATACATGATTACAACTAGAAAAAGAATATAAAATAAATATTTAATATCTCTAATAAGTTGAAATACCAAAAAAGTGATTGGCAAAATTTGATTACTTAAAGGTAAGTAAAAAAAATACCTAGGCTAAATCATTAATTGTTTTTGATAATTCAATGGCCCGTTGGAACTTTTTTTTTTCTTGGCAAAAGAAATTGAAGGTTCTACCCCGAGACCTTAATATGATAATGAAGCGTGATAAGTGTTGAAGTACAAAAGAATGATGAACCAAACTGCATATTTCCAATGTGACACGTTGGTGGATGGAGATAGCTTGAATTGATGATTACGTAGCTGATTTAGAGAAGATATTCAGAGATTATGTGGCTGGATTATTGGTGACAAAATGGCACTCATATGGCCTTTGGACACAAGCTAAATCAACCAATATCAATCAAGCACATGCACACTTTCCATATTGCATCACTCGACATCTAATTCCCTTATTTTTATATTTGTTAGCCGTTGAATATCTTTAAATTTCCTTGTATATTGACTTGTATCAATAGTTGTAAATCATGTACATGTTATGGAGAACCATAGATAGGGGTGGGCACGGGTCGGGTACCCTGAGTTTTTGGGGTACCCGGGCTTCGTCTTCGTTTTCGCGGGTTTTGAGAAAACGTTATCTCGTTTTTCGTTTTCGTCAAATCCGAGTACCCGTGGTTCGATACCCCTCGCTGAATTCGATTATCCGAGGGTACCCGAATCCGTCGACTTCGATAGAAAATATTGAGTTTTGTTGACTTTAAGAGTATTTTAGTAATTTAATATAAAATATTTTAAATAATTTTTGTAAATATATCAAAATATCAGGGATATAATTGTCATTTTATTCGTATCCGGGTACCCGAGGGTAGGGGTGGGTACTTCGGTTCGGGAATTTAGTATCGATCCGATCCGTCCCGAAACTGAATCGGACCGAACCGAACCAAATAACGTTTGGTTCTAATTTGGTACACTTTTTATGGAACCGAATGAACCGTTCTCTAACCGAACCGTATGAATATCGAACCGAACCGTATGAATTCCGAACCAAAATTCGAATATTCCACTAATATATGTGTAAATATTATAGTTCGGTACTTATTTGGTATTCATATAATGGTACCATTCCGAACCGAACCGGTACTAAAACCGAACCGAACCGAACCGTTTAACATTCGGTTCTAGTTTGGTACACTTTTTATAAAACCGAAAATACCGTTCCCGAATCGAACCGCTTGAATACCGAACCGAAACCCGAAACGCCCACCCCTACCCGAAGGTACCCGTCGCCATTCAAACAAAACCCAGATTCGAATCCGCAATCCAGATTTTTGGCTTCATCAAACCCGTTTTCGTCTTCGTTATGCAAAGGATACCCGTGTTTCGAGTACCCGTGAGACCGGGTATCCGAAAATCCACATATTTCAAGTGCCCACGCCCACCCCTAACCGTAGAGAATTCAAGGGACTTTGTTCCCTTTTTTCACCTTTACACCTCCTGATATTATTCTTCGCTATTGCTCGTACAGATGCCTCTCATGAGCATCTTGTGCCTCAACATTAGAAGAAAACACAGATGAGATTTCAACCATGGTATAACGATACTAAATATATCAAAGATTAGACGGTTTAACTAATAAAGATGGGCAAAACTTCTTTCCAACTCGGATTAAAATTTCTATTTGAAGAGAGACATTCACCTCAATTTCTCCGGTTCTCTGGAAGATATAGTTGAGCCGAAGGCTCGGTGAATTTCCAGAATAAAAAAAAAATAAATAATAAATTACTTTTTGAATTCTCCTAATTTACTTATAGTTCAAAGATGTTATGAGTGGGATATAATTTTCTCTATAAATGTTAGAGTTTTCTAGACTATCTAAAACCCAAGTAATAAAATAGAAAAAATCTATATTCAAAACAACTTTCTATTTTATTTTTGAAGTTAGGATTTTGTCACGAAGGCTTGTTCAACATCTTGCTAGTCTCTGACAAAATCAAATGCTCGCGCCGAGTAACGGTAGAAAGGGATCTCCCTAACGAAATCAGAAACATGGATACGAGAGATCGTGAACTCACCTGCGCCATGTAAATAGGTTCAATAACCCATGGCACCCACAATCACAGCTCCTGATTTTTTCAGGCCTTGGATTGGGCTTATGGATGAGGCCCAGAGTATATGTTGGGCCTGTAACACATGCTTCTTCTTTTTTTTGCACTCTCGTTATCGCCTCCGTCGGCGTTTTTTTTTTTTAGATATCTTCCCACTCCAAGAAAATCTAGCGCAATGGCGACAGCGGCGATGATCATCGACCCTAAAGCTTCCCCGGTTATTTCGGATCTGTATACGGAAGAAGAGGATCTATACAGCCGGTTGAAATCGCTTCAGCGGCAGCTCGAGTTCATCGACATTCAAGAGGAATATGTCAAAGACGAGCAGAATAACCTGAAGCGAGAGCTGCTTCGGGCTCAGGAAGAGGTCAAACGCATCCAATCGGTGCCTCTGGTAATCGGCCAGTTCATGGAGATGGTGGATCAGAACAACGGAATCGTCGGATCCACCACCGGTTCCAATTACTATGTCAGGATTCTCAGCACCATCAATAGAGAACTCCTCAAGCCCTCCGCTTCCGTCGCCCTACACCGACACTCTAATGCCCTCGTTGATGTTTTGCCCCCTGAAGCGGATTCTAGCATCTCCCTTCTCAGCCAGTCCGAGAAGCCTGACGTCACCTACAATGTTAGTCTCCTCTGATTTTCCTAAACCTGTATGCTTGCGATTTTTAGGGTTTTCATGTGCTTCTAGTTTTTTGTTCCTGCCAATCATCCCTAGGTGACTTGAAGTACTCATCTTTTGTTAGTTTCTTCTCTCTCAAGGATATTGGAGGATGCGACATCCAAAAACAGGAAATTCGCGAGGCAGTCGAATTGCCTCTCACTCATCATGAATTGTACAAACAAATTGGCATCGATCCTCCTCGTGGTGTCTTGCTCTATGGGCCCCCTGGCACCGGAAAGACTATGCTGGCCAAAGCTGTTGCCAACCATACAACTGCTGCCTTCATTAGGGTTGTTGGTTCTGAATTTGTTCAGAAGTACCTGGGTGAGGTATGCATCTTAGTTCTCTTGTCACTTTAAGACTGGTAATGTGGATGATTTCTTCGTGGAGGTATCATTATCTTCACTCTGGGATTTTGTTGATCTACAGGCAGCTTAATGGTAAATCATCTCTCTCTTTTGCAGGGGCCACGAATGGTCCGTGATGTCTTTCGTCTTGCAAAGGAGAATGCCCCAGCTATCATCTTCATTGATGAAGTTGATGCTATTGCTACAGCTAGGTTTGATGCTCAAACAGGAGCCGACAGAGAAGTTCAGCGAATTCTCATGGAACTTCTGAATCAGGTGAGAGAAGAAATGAATAAGAATAGTTTGATTAGGATAGATGTTAGGTTATATCCCTGTGAATATTCTGCTAGTCCCTCGCAACATAAATAGTTGTTCCCTCACACTCTTTTTAGTTCTTGATAGCTTTACCTTTTTGTGTTTAATCCGATGTAGATGGATGGGTTTGATCAGACCGTGAATGTCAAGGTCATAATGGCAACCAATAGAGCAGACACACTTGATCCTGCCCTCTTGCGTCCTGGGAGGCTCGACCGTAAGATTGAGTTCCCCCTGCCTGATAGACGCCAAAAAAGGCTTGTTTTCCAGGCAGGTTTTCTGCTCTATTCTCTTTGGACTTGCAGATTTTGGTTTGTTTCTGCTTCTTTCTTCCTAACTGGTTGGTCAGTGTAGGTATGCACCTCCAAAATGAATCTGAGTGATGAGGTTGACTTGGAGGACTACGTTTCAAGGCCTGATAAAATCAGTGCGGCTGAGGTTAGTTTATCTTGCTTGTTGATAATGTTTACTTCTCACCAAAGCGTGTTTTCCCTTTGGCGGACAACCTTGCCCCTGGCCCTAGTCTAGTCAACATAGATTTTTGGGGGTAGCCGCCTAACCAGGTCAAGCTTCCATTTTGTGTTGTCCTGAAAGGTTCTCTCTTGTTTACACGGGCATCCTTGCAGATAGTTGTTTTGTTTGCTAAGAATGAGGTTAGCTGAGTCCTATCCAGTCTTTATGCACCATTAATTGTGCTGCCACAGAGCAGCAGAGTTTTCTAGAAAGTTAGATAATAACTAATTATGGATTAAGGAGCTGGTGAAGGTGACTGTTATGTATGTAACGTCTAGAGATCTCACCTCCTCTGGCATTATGGTGTGCATTGCAGATAGCGGCTATATGCCAGGAAGCGGGAATGCATGCAGTGCGTAAGAACAGATATGTGATACTGCCGAAGGATTTTGAGAAGGGTTACCGTTCCAATGTCAAGAAGCCAGACACAGACTTCGAGTTTTACAAATGAAGAGTTGCATTATGCATAGGTATCTCAATTTATGTGAACCTAATCTCAGTTTGTGAACGTCGTTACTAGGGCCATGTATGCTTTTGAATACTCTGAACCAGGGCCATGTATGCTTTTGAATACTCTGAACTGTGATTATGCCAAAATATGAATCAGATATGGGTTATAAATTTCCATAGATTTAGGTGTTGTTAATAGTTGATTGAGAGCTAGAACCTTCCGCGTATGAATTAAAGTTGAGCCTCAAGCTCTTTGGCTTCTTTGGGTTCGGTCTTGGACTACTGGTGGATGCAAGCATTCTTTTTCTGAATTCTCTTTTCCTACAAGGGCAGGGGTGTGATGCCGCAGCGTGAACGAAGACGTGTGGTGTAGGTATGGTAGGCTTTAGCAATAGTAATAGAATGGACCAACACAGTTTGAAACTCCCCACCTGGTGGGAGTGTGTAGTGTAGGTATGATAGGCTTTAGCAATAGTAAGAAGGGCCAACCCAGTTTGAAAGTTTGAAACTCCCCACCTGGTACTGTTTTATGTTTTTATGCAGAGAGAGAGATTGATTCAAACCCGCGATTTCAGATTCCACAACAAATGAGTTTACCGTTGAACCAAACCGCCCCTACACTTTAGCAATAGTGTATTTCTAAATATAGTTGTGTACGAGAGGCGGATGGAGGTGGTGTGCCTCGGCTAGAGGCGTTAGGCATATGTGCCTCATTCGCAGGGTCCATCGTGCCATCTGTTGCAACCAAACTCTAAACTGGATCAGAAACGCGGAAGAGTCATAAGCCCTAAACGAAACGAAACAAAAAGGAAAACCGAAACCAAATCATAACCAAAGGCGGGAAGCAAGAAAAGAGTCTCTCTGTGGCTTTTTGGCTGATGTTATGAATCTGAAAATTTTAAAATATTATTTCAAGTTCAAAATATTACAAAACCGAAATCAACTTTCTAATACCCCTTATGGTTTTTAAAACTATGTCACATTTTTAGTGTACTGTTAAAGGCCAAAGCGTTGACTGACCTCATAGTCCGGTGGTCACGCTGAGCTGAGTTATTAAAACTCAAACTTTAGCACACAATTCCCCCTCCTTTGTGGTGCTTTCTTTCATGCCAACAGAAATTAAAGCTGCATACACAAAAGAATTCACCATGGAGCGAACACAAAACTGTAACATACAAACCTGTCAGAGTTCAGATTAGGCAAAGTGAAAACCATACAAGACAGACCACCACCCTGATAAGTAACAATAAACAGCATCGAGAAACAAAAGCCAACCACATGCACGTTTTCAGCGACCGGACATTTATGTCTTTGGGAGAGGAGACACACGAGACCCGATTACGTACACTTTCACATAAATAATCTGGCTCATCGCACTCTGCATGCTGCAGGGCCGCCAGGGGAACAATTCGGATTGGGAGACCTGCAAATGGCTCCAGGACCGACGTTCTTAGCAAACCTCCGATGCATTCTGCAATCAGGCACCCCTCCCATTGCAAACCCAGCACCAACCGCAGTTGTTGCACCAGGGGACAGCGATGATGAAACTTGGCCAACATCACCTGTACATTGCAAAGGTTCCAAAGTCTCAACCACATCACTCATCAGGGGCCTTGCTTTAGGGTTCTGGCTCAGACAATAATACGCCAAGCTGCATGCTTTCTGCGCTGCTCTGACAGAGTATTGGTTCTCCAATCTCGGGTCAATTATTTGCAGCAGTTTTCTCTTATCATTCAACTTTGGTCGAGCCCAATCAACCAGATTCTGCTCTCTGCTGGGTCTTGTCTTGTCCACAGATTTTCTGCCTGTCAACATTTCCAGAAGGACAACCCCAAAGCTATACACATCACTTCTGGCAGTCAGGTGTCCTGTTCCGCCGTAACAGTACAGCCAAAGTCAAACGATTTACGCATTTATTGCCATTCAGATATGAAAATGCTCTTTGTAGTTTCAGAAATGTCGTGTAAAGTAGAAACGCACCCAATAAATGTGGTTCAATCTACACCACAAACTCAGCTCTATAGGTACAGACAGCAAACTAGTTAAGTTGAAGAGTCGAGGAAACCGAGTCCAGTTTCCTTTGGTTGTGATGGCAAGACTAGGAGATATCTTTCTCGTGAGTCCTCACATTCAGCTAATAACTCTAATGACTACCTTATTTTAAAATGTATGACCTATGTACATGCCTGATCGTCTCCCTACCAGCATAGTCTAAGACTCTAAGTGAACAAAACAGATTTTTGGAGTTACACCGGAATATTATGTATGGACATCTGAAGAAAATAAAGAGAAACAGTAATATATGTGATATGTCATATTACAAGTCTCATACCAGTCATCACATACTCCGGAGCGGCATAGCCATAAGTGCCCATCACTCGGGTCGATACATGCGTCTCATCACCCTGGGGACCAGCTTTAGCAAGCCCGAAATCTGAAAGCTTAGCGGTGTAATCCTGAAAGTTCAACCTACGCTTAATGGGGAACAGATATTTCCAGCAACTAGGAGAAGCTCTTTGCTAATAATAAACCAAGAGAAACGTTGTTTACAATTACCGAGTCAAGGAGTATATTAGAGGTCTTGAAATCGCGATAGATCACCGGCCTTTCAGCATTATGGAGACAAGCAAGTCCTTTTGCAGCGCCAAGAGCAATCATCATTCTTCTAGACCATGATAGCGGAGCTGTGGTTTCTGAGAAGCTCGAGAAAGGTCATGGTGACTTGGTCAAAAGAGCAACACAGTGGTTTGCGTAAAATCGAAATAAGCAAAAAGACCATTAAGAGAGGAAAAAACATGCAATTCAAGCTCTCGTCAAATCAAGGTAAGTGATATATGTAATAATAGATGCGTGGAAGGTTAGCAAGCATTTGGGTTTATATGTAGTGGAGCAGTATGAGTGGATTACTTCGAAAGAGGTGATTCTCGAGGCTGCCTCGTAACATGAACTCATAGACGAGCAATCGGTGATCGTCTTCACAACAGTAACCAATAAGCTTGACGAGGTTGGGATGGCGAAGTTGGCCAAGGAAGTTGACTTCTGTAAGCCATTCGCGGTGGCCCTGGAGACCCTCCTTGTTGAGAACCTTGACGGCGACGGGGAGAGATTTGAGGCCAACGCGGAGATTGTCATCAATGTAACCCTTGTAAACGGTGCCGAAGCCGCCTTCGCCGAGAATATAGTCAGGGCGGAAACTCTTGGTGATGGTCTCGAGCTCGAAGAGAGTGAATGCGATTACTTGGGTGTAAGGAAGAAGAGCGTTGCGAGGAGTGGAAGGATCGCTCAGATCTGAGACGGACCGGAAGTGCTTCTTCTGAAGCTGTTGGACTGCGAAGCGATCCGCCGAACAGAGAAGAGAAATCAGGAAATGCGAGAGAGAGAGAGACGGGGAGAGAGAGAGAGAGAGAGAGAGAGACCTTGAGGAGGAGTAAAGACGGCGGCTTCGTCTCGGGTACCACAATTGCCCATTGTCAGCAGGTGAACGACGACTGAGAAAGGGGTCTCATTCTCCCCCAGCACCGGAAAACCCTAAATCCCAATGGTTGACGACAATGTCTGCGACTCACTGGCGATGTCCCGATTCCCGATTTCCTTCCGCTGCTCAGCTGACTCAAGCCTACAGGTTCGGAATCCTAATTGGGCTTTGTTCTTTCTATGGGCCCAATTAGGATAATTCTTTTCTGTCTGGGCTTATAATGGGTCGACTTCCCATAATTTATTAACTAAGCCCTCCTGTTGGTTATGGACCCTCTCTCTCTCTCTCTCTCTCTCTCTCTCTCTCTCTCTCTCTCTCTCTCTCTCTCTCGGTTTTCAGCTAGATTTGTATTCCCTCTCTCTAGTTTCCCTGCAGTTTCTACCTTGTATATTTTTTCGATCTTCATGCACTGGTGATTGGCACCTATGATGATGTGTTCATGCGATGAACCTATATTGATTCTTAATGTAAATAATATACACACTGCATATGCATTAGCTACTAATAAAAATGGTTAATTGCATATTATTTAAAATAAGGGTCTAAACCAAATATGACGTTGAAGCAAATGGTGCAACAAGACCTGAAATTTATCGGTTTAGAATCTTATTCGTCTGCCTAAAGTGATAGATGCATGAGCTAAAATACTCCTCGTGGACAAAAATTAAAGGGTGGCCGGCCGCTTTAATAACGATTCCTTTGGACAACAAAATTTTGCTTTTTTTTTATCGGTAAATCGACCGACTACATCTCCTATAAAATCGTCGAAGAAATACATTGATCCTTTTCAAATAAAGATTCGAACTCGGGTTGAAAAGAAATTTTGTTCCAGTGATTCACCAATCTTGGGGGTCTTTGGAAAGCAAAGTTGCGAACAAAAAGGCAAAACAAAGGGATTTAATTATTGGAGACATCTCTTGGAAGCTCTCTTAATCAAACCAAGCCTGTCTTTTTTTCCTTTTGTTGTTTTCTGATGAAACGTTGGTATTTGTGATGTCTTATAATTCATCCCCACTCCACGCTTCATACGCAACATCCCACGCTGCTTGTTTTTTGTATGTTCCTCTTCTTTTTTTTAATGATGTCTGAATTTCATGCACCTATGGCTATGGATCAAGTGTTGTATAAAACGCCGCTGATGAAACCATATTGTCCGGTTTCTAAAGTAATGGAAATACCAACCTTCGTTAAAAAAATATATATATATATTTTGTAAGAATACATTCCTTAACGAATCAGAGGCAAGCATCTTTTACGTGTGACACTGAATGACTTCAAAAGGTGACATATAGCGTGATTAAAAATTAATAAAATACGACCGCACCGAGACAGCCGTACAAGCCGACCTCGGCCAATCGGATAATTACGCCACAACAAAATAATAAACTTTGACTATAATAATTGATGAATAACTGACGGCAGAAAAAAAAATATCTAATGGAACTGGTGGTTGTAATTTGACACGGGGAATGGGTCCTCAGCCACGCGATGTAGTTTTTGTTAATATACACGGTCAACTTTATTGTAACCGATGACACTTTTTTTTTTTTTGCATGTTCACAATGAAATTTTGCAAAGATTCTATATCCAAATAAAAGAAGCATCGGATGCTAGGGGATTAGAGAAATAACATCATTAGGGGTTCATATGATCTATTTCATTTTCAAAGCATCTGTAGGCAGAGAGTTGGTGGTGGGGCAGTGTGTTAGAATTTCGCCCATGCCATGATAGGATAGGTCCCCTTGGGCTTTCCGTGTTAACGCAAAGCTGTACAAGGGCATGTGAGGGTGTATCTATAGGTATATGTATATACAAAACATACGTATATGGGTGCTGTTGGTATAAAAAGGTCACCTAATGTCCAAACAATTCAGTAGGTTTTGTAACACAAAAGGATCGACGATCTCTTCTCTTCTCTTATAGTCTCGAAACGAAAGAAAGAAACCCATACACAATCTGGTTCCAAAGGCAAAAAGAAGGTTAAGAGAGGGAGGGATGACAAAGGTGTACCCAAAGGGCGAGGCTGTCGAGAAGGCATCAACATCAGCAACAACAGAGTTAACGGTGTGGAAGAAGTCACTCCTCTTCAACTGCAATGGCTTCACGGTGTTCGATCCCAAAGGCGACCTCATTTTCCGGGTGGATAACTACATGGAGGGTCACCGTGGTCAAACCCTTCTCATGGATGCCGCCGGCAAGCCCCTCCTCACCATCCGCCGCAAGGTACTGCTGCCTATTCTCACGATCACGTGCAGCACAGTGAGTTTGAAGTTGTTTGATTCCTTTATTTGCAGAGAAAACTGAGCCTGGGAGATTGCTGGGTTGTGTGCGATGGGGAGACAACTTCGAACCCGCTGTTTTCAATGAGGAAAAACGTCAGCGTACTAAACTCGAAGAGCTTGGCGTACGCGAGCAAAAAGGGCAGAGCGGTTC